TGTTAGAAGGAATTCAAAGCTTTTCTTAAATTTTGTGGTGGAAAGCCAAGAGAAAAAATAACTTGATGCCATATGATGTACAGTGCATTGGTTTGAGAGTACCAAATGCCCGTAGCTTAATATTTGCTAGGGCTTTAACTTCCTTCTGGGGGCAAGTCTTTCGTATCGCACATTGTCTACCAGTACTTCACGAAAAGAACAGATATAATTGAATTGCTTTTATTATATCCTTCAGAATTTAAGCTGTCATTAGCAGCTCAGCTGTTGTTTAGCTGGTTTTTTAATCTTTGTGTATTCTTTGGAGCTAGAACAGATTGAACAACAGCTGTATTGCAGCCTTCTGTAGAGTGTATAAGGTTTGTAAAAATGAAGTGGTTTTTTTGCTGCATTGCATCAATTCTGGATTCACAATGAGAATTGTTTTAAATTTTAATTTTTTTGTAAGCCTTGTGATATTTCTGTACTCCTTACAAATAAATGTTTTTACTGTTAGATATTGGTAGATACAGTCTGGGCACTCTCATATCTAACGGATGCTGGCAATGAACAGATCCAAATGGTGATAGACTCCGGAATAGTCCCTCATTTGGTTCCTCTTCTCAGTCATCAAGAAGTTAAAGTGCAAGTAAGTTTGGATAACTTCAAGGAAGTGTTGCTCAAAACTTAATACTAGAGAAAGTAGCTGGTTTCTTTTTATAGTTCGTGTTGAAGTTGAGTACTTTTTCCTGTGTGGTGCAACATTTGCATAAAACCTTTTGTTTTTTTAACTGTTGCTGTTTGAAAGTATGTACTCAACTAGAAAAAAGTCTTTGATTAAAAGAACTCTTCAAGAAAGTGTTTTGTTTCAGACTGCTGCACTGAGAGCTGTAGGAAACATTGTCACTGGTACCGATGAACAGACACAGGTAGTTCTGAATTGTGAAGCTCTTTCACATTTTCCAGCACTTCTGACGCATCCCAAAGAAAAAATTAATAAGGTAAGTAACCGCAGAGAGATTGCACCCAATGGATAACTTTTTATATTTGACTTAGTTGTTTTGGATTCCACTAACATAGTGTGGTAGAGATTTGAGGAATTGGCTACTTAAACCAGTTTATGGCAAGAGCAGGCTGGGTACTGAAATTTTTCTTGACGTTAACATCCGTAGAAAATTCTCTAAGGAGCTGCAAACTTGTATTGACAAGAATGTTGTTTCCTGATTCTTCTAATGGAATTTTATTAAAGCTTTATCTTGCAATGCTGGATGTTGACTTAAAAGTTAAAGTTCTGGATATGTGAAATGTCACTTTTAATTAAACTGACTCTCTTGGAAGTGATGAAATAGAGATAATTGGATGTCTCTTTGAATTGAATGTGTGTGATAAATGGAATTTAAACCAAGTTAAATTGGGGGTGGGGTGTGGGGAACGTGTGTGTGCGTGTGCGCGTATGTGTAGAAAAGGCTTTAAATGGGGGCACTGATAATGCAGTGCTGATTCCGGAGTGCATCTGAGGCATGTTGTTAATTTCTGGGGTGCAGCTTTACAACATTGCCAATGATTAAAGCCCAAAACAAGCCCACCAGGAAAAGCCTAGGCATCCTAAATCTCTAACAGGTTCATTAATGAAAGTGATCCTGTGATCTGATCTGAGAGACTCAGTTGAATGAAATAATAGAATTTCTGAATCTCATGTTGAGAGAAATACTCGTCTAAAAAGTTGCCATGCCAGATAAATTGAAAGGAGAAGGAAATTGAGGAGTGATGGTGGGTGCCTATGAAGGGGAGAAACTTCTCAACTGTAAGATTAAAAAAAGTTGATACTCTGAATATATGTAATTTTATGTGAATCTGTGTTCGTTATTTCTTGACTAAATATAGATTCCCACTTCAGAAGGGGGGTAGGAGGCTCTCAATTCTTCTTTAACATAAGAATCCAGATATGGTCTTTGGCTTAATTCAAAATTTCAGCTGTTCAGGACTGGAAGGGCCTACTGGGGAAGAGATCTCTTCTTAGACACTTTCCTAGGCACCTGCTGTTCATTGTTGCTGGAAGGAGAGAGTCCTGGGCTTATGGACAGAATGATTATAAAGGGTCACATAACTTTACAGTATTCTTGACAAGCAAGCATTTAAGTAATAGGTGTTGCATTTTCTTGATGATTGATAGTAAGGGGAGAAACATTATGAGGAAGGTGAAAGAACATACTTTTTTCTGCCACTTTCATGTCTGGAAAACATGATGTATTTTGGAGCTCATCTGACCATCAGCTAAAAACTGCTGTAGCATTCATTCTCAGTAATAAAATCAATTATGAGTGCTCATTTGTAGCCTTGTGACTTTTTTTGTCTCCAAATCATTCTTCCTTTTAATATGTGAATTTGGAGTATTTGGTTGTAACTTGGCAACAATGAAGGACTGAAGAGTCTTGTGGGGTTGCCTAAGGCGAGACTGTCTGCTTTGTTACTTGTATGTCTAGTCTACTTACTATATATTTGATTGTGTTTAAGATTGACTAGTGTATGAATTGCAGATCTAAAAATGCAAATGTATAAAATCTTGCTGAAGTGGAAATATGATATAGAAGACTATCTGAATTAATAATTTCTCACATCCTTTTATTTTGCAGGAAGCTGTGTGGTTCCTATCTAACATCACTGCAGGAAATCAGCAGCAAGTTCAGGCAGTAATAGATGCAAACCTTGTTCCAATGATAATACATCTTCTAGATAAGGTTAGATAACAAAAAGGATTTGAGAGTTTGCTTCCTCCGTTGGGGAAAGTGACATCGAATTCCTTGCTTGATGTTTTTACATTGTACTGCAAACGTGGGGGGCAGGGTTAAACTACACTCTTGAGCATTTTTCATATGCTGCAAGATAAAATACATTACTGTTGATATGCTTTTCCAAAGTACTGTGAGATGATGAGTGCCAAGTATACTGGGGAAAGGAAGCAGATGAAGAGAAGCTCTTTCTCAGGTCCTCCTAAATCTCATTCAAATTCTTTTTCTCACTTTGTAAATAATGGAAGTAAAATTCTTCACTCTCGTATGTAGTGTTACATGGGAACAGCAATGAATTAGTTCCCAGCACTTTGCCAAAGCCTAAGGTCTTCATCCTTTTTTCCCCACATTATCTGGAAACATAAGGAAGTGCTCAACGGTGGCATTTATTAACCTGTTCCTGCATTTATCTAGTTGAGAGTAATCCATGGTCCTGTGACACTAGATTGAGGACTGGGATGTTGTCCCATCTATATTTTTTTTTTAAACAAGTAAAACAGCATCAACAAAAAATAGGTGTCAATATAAAATAACTGTAGCTTTTCTGTGTTCAGTTTTTCCCAGAGAAAAGCAGCACGCTGTATGCACGGATGGATGTATGCTTCTTTTCAGTAATAGATGAAACTTGAGATGAATGCTGTTAGTACCTTTTTATTAAATTATAAAGTCAAGTAGTTGCTCGCAAACACTTCTGAATGCTTTTCTCAGGCTTTTTCACAAAGTCTCTCATTGCTTGTTGACTGCTAGGAACTGAATGCTTAATGGGTCATCGTTTAGGACTTCAGATACCTGTATTCCTTTTCAGTTGTTGGGCATTAGTATCTTCTAAAAGGTTAGTTTCCAAACCACATTGTGCTCCCAAGGGATCTGCCTTGTGAGAAAGGGTAGCTAAAAGCATGTTTTTTAAACAGGAACAGTACAACACTTCTATCTTTCAAACATTTCCTACTTTTTGCTTTATTCATTACTTGGGTTTTCTTTCCTAAAGTGTGGGAAGAAGCCAGAAATACCAACCTTATGATGTGTTCAGCCATGACAAAGATGCAATATCTTGCTTCAGTGCAGAGGTGGGGTTGAGACTGAAGAAATACTTGTCTTTTCCCCTAAGTAACATACAGCTGTTGTTAACTGCCAATTTATTGATCACTGAAAAAAGAGTTGGAGACCCTTCTCTTTAAATTCAATAAGCAGACTTGAGTTGACTAACTTCAGAGGCAGACACAGTTATAGTATGTGCGGTGGTTTATCAAAATTGACACTTACTGCTTATCTCTCACTGTAATATGACAGCTGCTGATAAGGAATATGAGAGTGGAGTACTACAGTTCTTATGTACTTTGATGCAAACAAATTTCCCTTCCTCTGGAAGATGGATTTAAAAACATGGTTACAGGGAAGGGATGAACACCCTGTGAGTAGTGAAAACTGATGTGGTGACACTATGCAGAATGGACTGTAACAAATACAAGCTTTTACTAGAATACTACATAATGTAAAAACTGGCATATTTATTTATGGTTGTATTTTTAGGGTGACTTTGGTACTCAGAAAGAAGCTGCTTGGGCAATAAGCAACTTAACGATCAGCGGAAGAAAAGACCAAGTGAGTCAAACCTTAAAAGGTCCACTATCTTTCTTGGGTGCATTTGAGAGAGTGCCTCAGCTGATTGGTTTAGATGGCTTCTGTGCCAGGATTATGAGTGCCTGAATTCCTCCTCTGTCCAGTAACTCTTCCCTTTTCCACAAGGGATTTAAGAGTAAACTTCAGTTGTTGTTTCTGGAATGACCCAAGATTAGGAGTATCAATGGGGATTTGGACGGAAGCTCTTCTGTTAGGGTGGCCTAGTAGCTATGAATGATTGCATTCAGGCTCTGATCAGATTCTTGGTCGTTCAACATCTCTTTCTACTGTTTTGTGCCCTGTGGATAACAGTGTGATAATTATAATGATAGCCACTGAGTAGAAATATACTAGTTTCTTATAAGCCCAGAATATGAAATTTGTAGCAGGGTTGGGGTGGTGGTGTCATTCTTCAAAGATGAGGTTGAAACTCTTAGTCTAATACTGAAAAATTCACAGTACCTGCTACTTGTATGTTCTATACTTGAAATATATTTGTGAATTATGTTACAAGTATTACCTCTGTACTCTAAAACAAGAATTTCTGCAAGTGACTGCTACAGAATACTCTTCACCTTGTTGGGTAACTTTAAATACTTGAACTTCATTACACTTGTTTGCATGTGTGCTTGTGGTGCATTGTTTGCTTCTGTCACACTCCTGATCTAACTATTTGCTTTTTTCCCCTTAGGTGGCATACTTAATTCAACAAAATGTAATTCCTCCCTTTTGCAATTTGCTGACAGTAAAAGATGCGCAAGTTGTGCAAGTGGTTCTGGATGGACTAAGTAATATATTAAAAATGGCTGAAGATGAAGCAGAAACCATAGCCAATCTTATAGAAGAGTGTGGAGGTATGATGCTTAATATTTTGATACTGTTTTTTCAGAAATTAGTTGTTTCTTTTCCTACCATGTGTATATGCTGTTGGCTTTACTATGTGTTGGCACGGATGTTTTAAAGCACATGCTTTCTTAAAAGTGACCTTTTCATGCCTATCAGGTGAATGTACTTGGCTTTTCCTAACTGATTAAGTTCCTGATCAAGTAAAATGTGGAGGAGCTGGATAATGGCACTGAAGTTTATTAGATGCCAATTTTCAAACAGTTTGGTGTACTTGTCAAATAGTTTCTGTTAATGGAGGGATGTTATGCTTACTTTAATAACACACAAGTCATGTCCAGGTGAATTGAGGGGGCAGGGGCCTGAATCTATATACAGTGGTTGCAGAAATATGATACCTTTGATTTCTTAACGGCTTTTAGACTTTCCCTATATTGGTTGCTGTTTAAGTTGACTGAAACTCTTCAAGAATGAAAGATAGTGATATTAAATTTGGGCACAGGTAAAAACCCTGTGTGGGATTTTGTTAACATGGAGTTGAATAGTCTTTAATACAAAATCCTGAGTGTGGGGGGGGAAAGCTTAATTGATTGGTGATAGTGGGGGAGGGAGAAAAGAGGTGTTCATGCCTAAAGCTCTGCTTGTCAGAACCTCTCATGTCTGCTAATAACTTATACTGGAGCTACTTGCTATATAATGAAGCTACAGGTCAGTAACTGATAGCATGTGTGCCACCAGCAGTGTGTGGATTTGGAATGTCACAGCTGGGGGTTACTACGCCAAGTGCTGCAAAGGTGTTTTTGTGAAAAGGGAGTATGTCCTAGTGCTTGGCCCCTGCCATATTTCCACAGATTAGCATAATTCTTCATAGCAAGAAGAGAAGGGAAGTACTATCATTGCTGGAATTGACTTTTTACACAATATTTTTGTCATGGTGTGTATTCCTCATTCTCTGATATATTTCTTCAAATCTCTAAGAAGCTTTTATGCTTTAAGTGTGTCAGATGAGTTTAACACCATCTTGTTCATTGTCACTCTATTGCTAGATTTGGTTTTAAATACATCATATGATGAGGCCTTAAGGAGAGGGAGGTTGTTTTGCTGAACTTAGTATTTTAACTATTGTGTTTCTTATGTGTTTATTGCAGGCCTGGAGAAAATTGAACAGCTACAAAATCATGAAAATGAAGACATCTACAAACTGGCTTATGAGATCATTGATCAGTTCTTCTCTTCAGATGATGTAAGTGTGTAATAGCTCTGCTATCTGTTTTTGTAATTATTTGTTTATTAGTAAGGTTCAAGATAAAGGCAACAGCTCTAAAGCCTGCTCTGTGACACTTGTTTGTTTTTTTGGTGAAGAATGAGCCCTTATTTGAACCTGTTGCATATCTTATCATTCTTCATGATGAAGTATCTAAAGATCTGATGCCTCATTTAAGCCTCACCTCTAGGGATTAAAATACTTGGCTTTGTATAGTTCTCTTAACAGTCAGCTTCTGACTAAGCTTGACTTTTCACATTTGATAAGCTCCCTGCTGACTTCAGTACCGAATCTGAGATTCTGCTTCTTAAGAAACAAACAGTTTTGAATATTTTAGTGACTTCAGAGGTAGGGTGTGCTGATAAAGAACGTTGTTTTCAGTTTAAACATGTAAATCAAAAGAATGTTTTAGATTTGTATGCACTTTAAATCATAAAAGTTAATTGCATATAAAGGAAATGCAATCATATCAGTCTGTGTCATGAAGTGAGAGTATTTTCTACTTGTCTGAAGAACTTTTGGGAGCAGATTACTGCAAAAGTTGTAGAGCTCAGTTGCATTCATGCCCTACTGTCTGCACCGAAGTTGGTTTTGTGCTAGAGTTTTCGCTTTTATACGAACAAGGCGATGTAAGTAAGCCTTGTTAAGCAACTCATATTTTGCATATACAGCAGGACTTGGAATTTAATCTAGTGTCAATTTGGTAACCTGCACACTATCTAGTTAAATTGAAACTGCAGGTGTGGTGTAATCCTTACTTGACTTAATGGTATTGGTCTCCCTTTAAGAACTGTGACAGTTTATAAGCTGGCAATAAGGATGGTGCACGACTGGCAGAATACTTTCCAAGAGTGAAAACTGGAGAGGCTGTTAGGTGCCATGTAGCCTACCTACTAAATAGAAGCTATAAAACATTTTGGCTTAAATTACTTTGTCATTATAGCGCTCTTACTAAACTGGGGGAGAAGAATGGCAAGGCTAGATGCAAGGAAGTAGATTACGTGAAGAGATGGAAGCTCTTCAGGATTGTCTGGCTCCCTTTTAGTGAGGCTTTTGTCTTTCTATTCCTACTCATGATGTTCTTGTTCTGTTACAGATTGATGAAGATCCTAGCCTTGTTCCAGAAGCAATACAAGGCGGAACATTTGGTTTCAATTCATCTGCCAATGTACCAGCAGAAGGGTTCCAGTTTTAGAGTGGTATTTTGGAAGTTAGGTACAATGCAGCACTGAATAAAAAAAAGGTTTGATCCATCAATCTTGGCTCATGGGATCCGCTGCTGCATTAAATCGGGAAAGAAAATGTGAAGATTTCATTTGGAATCACAGAAAAGCCCAAATGAAGTCAAGATGGCGAGTGGGTGCGAGTGAGAATGAGTGGCAAAATGTAATGAAAAACTTCACACTGAATGCTTATTTAGATTGTTCAAAGAAAAAGGGCTACAGGTCAAAGATCTTCAGTGCCTGAGAAGGAACAATGACTTACTAGAGCAATTGGGGGGAAATGCAGTACTATCATCATCAAGCCTTGTAAGCATAAGAGAATAGGATGCCCATATAAGTCCAAGGAGAATGAGCCCAGGCCTTGCTATGAAGCACCGTGTGAATGGACAACATTGGATGAATGTCTGGACTCGATGCTGTGGAGCCAGGCTCGTGTTTCAAATACAGGGCTCTTCAGTCCTGAAGCAGGCTCCTAGTCCTGGAGTGGCGTGTGTACGAGAGTATGGTTGTGATGCTGTATGTGAACGCATGCAAGCTTGATTCGCCTTCAGGGGGCTGATAACAAACCTAGTAAATCATCAAAATGAGTTCATAAGTGTTAACTTACACTGGACACAAAAACAAAGACCGGTTTAGCAGCAGACTCTGGTTTACTCCTGCAGCCTGTGTTTCTTTTTTGTTTGTTTTTTTTTCCCCTCTTATTTTTCTTTTAATTATTTTTAATTTCTTTCCTGTATGGCTTATTAGTTGTTTGTAAAGTCAGAATTTCAGGAAGGCTTCCCTGTGCATTTGCACCAGATGAATGTTTGATGTTATGAAAAGCTTTCCATATCATCAAAACTAATTTGTAGATTTTTGCATGAAAAAATCATACATTTCCCTTCAAATAGACTGTGTTGCAGTACACAAGTTGCCATAATAGTAGAAAGCAGTAAAATGTGGTAATAAAATCTCATCCTTTTCATTTTCAAAGATAACATGAAGACCTTTGCATGTGGTAATCTACAGCATAGTTCATTTTTAGATTTTGTTGAGTCCTGTAACCAAATGTTTCCGTTGTGGTAGAATACCGTGCTGTGTTTCAATGTTACTTGTTTTCAAACTTTGTTTTCTATGAAAATGATATGGAAACTTCTAAAAATGAAATTTGGTGCATATGTACTGCCGAATAAAGACCGAAAAAGAGGTGTGAATAGATGTACAAATCAAGTCATGGTTTGAACACCTTTAATATGCCTAATCCAATTGTTTTAGACTCTTTTTATCTTAGATGTAGGCAGCCATGAACAATCTATTTTGAGCCACTTTAGAGAGAAAACTTTGTATTTTTAAAACTTGCACAAAAAGGATGCAAGTGTTTTTATAATTGGAGTAATACCTCAGTTTTGAGGTTCTGCACACTAAATTAAAGGTGACGTTACAAATTTGTACAAAATGAACTCTTTATAAGGTGGCTCATTGTAGGAAATGCTGTGCCTTCCCCTTTGAGCACAAGTGTTGCATGAACAACAGTTTGCTATAATAAAACATACCAGATTAGCCACCATTAGCATCTATATCTACCTTGTGTTTTAAAATCAACTGGTAATTCTGAAACACTGTAGAATGGATAAAGATTATTTTGTGATCATAACTCTTTGTTGGACTAGAGTATTTTTGCAGCATTCCTTGTCATCAGAAACATGGTTAAAGTTTAAAACTAGAAGCAGCGGAAACTAGCTTGTGAAATTTATCCCAAGTAGAGTGCAGGCTAGGCTGTCTTGGGGAAATAAACATTAAAACTTGCAACAGTGTTATGTTTGGTGTGTCTTTGTATGTACACTCCAGTTTTCATCAAAATGTGAAGATGATCATTGGCAGGAAGTTACAGTGAGATTTCTGAATCTCTTGGCTTGTTTGGGTTTTTTTTACCTGCCAAATATCAATGTGTTGTGTGCTATGTTTTGTAGGCTTGAGGTAAATAACTATTTTGGTATAAATATTAAGAAATAATTAATTTGCCTAATTGCATAGTATGTATTCACTAAATAAATTAGGACTGTTTTCATGTGGAATGTAGGGAGCCCTTAGAGGAGGTAAAATGCTTAAACTGGTGTTTTTAAAGAAGTTGTGACGCCGTAAGTAAAATTACACTTATTACTAACTTCATACTTTTAAAATACCTTTGTGAAGGATGTACTGTAGAAAATTGCTTTATTGTTAGAATCCCTTCTTGTTAGGGCTAAGAGGAGAACAGATGTTTGTGGAAACACAGAAGCTGCTAAAACAAAAAAAACCCAACCAAAGCACTATGGCAAGGTCTGTGTTTACTGCTAGTGAATGCCTCTTCTGGGCACTTCCCCAGCTGTGATGTACTTACAATTACCTTAAGCAGGTGCTGTTCTAGCTGCAGCCTGTACTTTCTTATGCTGTCACTGGTGGTGTTTTGTTGGGTTTGGTGGGTTTTTTTTAAGTGGAATATTCTCTTCGCCTGCTTTGCAGCAGATCCTGTTACCGTTCTGTTAGTTTACCAAAATACAGAAAGCTTAAAGATTCCAGCATCCACGGGGTGGCAGTATTCGGAGTCCTGAGGAGCAAAACTGAAGCCAGTTTGTCCAATGCCTTTTTTCCCAAAAGTTGCAGTTTGAGGTAATGTAATTAATTACATTGTTGGGAAAAGGGGAGTTGTTTGGGAGGCCTGGGATACAAACAAGAAATAAAGATTTTAGGAGTGCTAATCAGATTATTAAGATGTCAGAAGGCAGAGTTACTTACAGGTACCACCTTGCATTGCTGCAGTGGAAGTCACAGACCAATTTTCTGCCAAAGTGTGAGATGAGTAAGTTTTAGCTTCTGACTTTATTGAGCAGTGGAATTAGATCATCAACAGAAGCAACTTCGATGTTTCCCTTGAATATTAAAAGTGTGGTGGTGAGTGTACTTCTCAAGCTGTTTGGCAGCAGAACACTGCTCTGTGATACTTAGATTGTCTGTAACCATGCAGATGGCAACTCTTTGGTCCCTGTTCTTCAATTCTAATAAAACCAGAGATGCAGAGATGGGGTTGTAGGTTAATCTATTCTCAGGATTTTGAAGTAGAAAATTAGCTTTTCAGCTGAACTGAGGGTAGCAGATCTCTAGAAAAAGACCCCTAAAATATTAAAAGGATGAAAGTTAATCCAGAACATACACTTACTCCAGGTAGGATTTTCATTCCAAGGAGCAGCATTGTTGGACCAAATTGGAATTTTAAATCTTGGTATTGGACTAACTGATGTAGCTAGGAGGAGTAGTTCTATGGACTAGTATGCTGAATTGAAAGAGATAGCTTGAGAGAAGTTGACCCTATTTCTTTCTCTCCCACTGCTGCAAGTAGAATAGCCCCTGGCTGTGAGGCCTTTCAGCATAGGAGAGACGTTTGCCTCGAACAGAGACGTACTGTTCGTCTTTCTTCACAGAATGGTATCTTCTGGTGGATCACAAGCATTCCCAGTAAGTTGTCCATTTCTACCGTTTTGGTAGTGGAACAAGCTGGTCCAACTGTTAAAAAACAGTAATTTCTGGGTAGTGTGTTAAAATAGCAAGCAACTTAAAAGGGTTTCAAGTAAAGAGAAGTGCTGCCTAAGGCAGCTTAGCCAGCCCTGAGCAAGAGAACCCGATGACTTCTGTGTAACCTCTTGCACAATTTCAAAAGCCTAAGGAAAATGGTGGATGTGCCAGGAAGAAAGGAGGGGGGGTGTGTGACTTTCTGCTTGAAAGCGAAGAAATGTGTATGTATTTGTTAACAGCTCCTATCATATAGTACGTTGCGTAAATTACCAAATTACTGCTGCTGCTTTATAATTAAGAATGTCTTCATATTAATACGTGTAGACTCTGCCACTTTTAACTATAAATGTTTCCTCAACTCTGCATGTCACCAAATTACTGGCGGGAGTGCTGGTCACAAGGCTGGAAACAATTACAGAAGTCCTGCATCTGGATCAAATAGACTTTATGAAAGGAAACTTAGTAGCAGAAAATGTGTAAAGTTTACAAACTCTTCCTAATAGTAAGTTTTAGCTAGTGCCAGATTAAAACTCAGAAGGCACACAAAATCTAATTGAAAGAGTTAATATTGCTTCAATACCTACAGAAAAGTGACTGGAAACTTAATTTCCATAAAGAAGTTCCTGGTTCTTGCTAGTAAGTCCCTTGAAATGGGGGTCCTGTTATTCTGGTTTGGTGTGCTCTAAAGATGAGGAAAAGTTTTCTTCAAGCTGTTGTGAAAGCTGTCATATGTTATAATACCTTTGATATACTCCTAAATTTCTGTAAGTCAACACTGAAAGCTGCTATTACTGGAAAACAACAAATGTGGGAAATTGTAAATGCCAGCTGTTGGTAAATGTGTTGCAAAAGTTTTGTAATTTGATGGAAAGGCAGATGGTCAGTAGTCAGACTTCATATCAGCAAGACCAGATGATGGTATGAAGCAAGCATGTCATTCCTAGAATGGCAGTTTTTCAGATTGAATGTTGCTTCATCTTGAATTCTTAATTCTTTTAAATACATAAAAATAAACTGGGTATAAACCAACATCCATTCTTATTTTGAACATCAATTATTCATACTGTAAATTATTGTCAAAACCACTCGTTTGGTCTTCTGCGTCTGTAGCTTTTTCTTAAGACTTTCCTGGTGTGTTGAGGAGGGCAGTAGAGGGGAAAGGACTATAACATTGTATTATTATGTTTAATCTAGTGTACGTACCCCAGAAATAAAACTACTCCCAGGTTTAGTGCTCGTGCCATATGGGTTCTTTGAGGCACTGTGGAGGTCTTCTCCTGTTGTTGCAGTGTAGTTAAGATCCTGGAGTTAAAGTTATCTATATGTTCCCATCCACCACCACCACAAAAGTTAAGAGAATCGATGAGCTGGAGAAGCATCTTTCAAGAAACATGAAACAGATTTAGATCTTTCTGAGCTTGGCGTAGGGAAGGAAGGGGGGTAATCTGATCCCATGGACAGCTACAGGCTCATAGTCTGAAAAATATGGTTATCTCAAATATATTAAAATGAGAAGAGGAACCAATAACTATAGCAGTTGGTTTGGCATTGAAATTAAGGCAAAAATCTGAGTGCTTGGTCAGCCTCGGAGTGTTTTCCTAAGTTGGCTGTCCATGCAACCAGTGAAGCTCTGTGCATGGCTATCATGGGTAAAACCCTTGCCTGAGCAATATTGTGACAGTCAAATCTTACTTTGTCCTACCGTATTACTTCCCTCCTTACATGCTTACAACTTTTTTTTCCTTAACTATATGCCCAATTTACCTCTTTCTCATTCAAGCTGTTTGGAACCTGGCACGGATTCAGACTCCTTTACTCACACTACGCAGTTCATACTCCTTTTTCTACTACGTTTGACAAGGTATTTATAATGAACCAGAAGCATGCAGCCAGTATTTAGACTTTGGTGGTGGAACCAAAGCCTTAGTTTGCAGGTTGGTTGTATTGTGGACCTGAAAAAGGCTTTCCTCACCTAAAATGTTGTGTTTTCTCTAACTGCATCATTGGTTCTAATATGTTCAGTTACAAACCTTGACCTGCTTGGCTACATGGCATTTCATTTTTTAGCTGCTGCGAGTTTGTGTGTTTTGCCACATGGCAGCTTTCTAAGCTTTTTAGAATTGTAAAAATACAGAAAAGCAGGGGGTTTTAGTGCACTGAACCTCTGAAGTGTGTTCCAGATTACCTGATTTGTGCTGAGACACAAGTGGTATCTACGTTGCTATGCCTGTTCCACGTTAGTAGCCTTGTGGGATACCTATTTTGCACTAGCTAAGCATCTTCAAAATACAGTTTTTGTTAACGATTTCCTTTTTTCACCTGACTTAAACTGCAGAAACATCTTTTAGCAGGTTATTACTGTGCCAGAGCCCGAGTGTGGTTAGAAGGGGGCTGTGTCTTAAGCTAATGTTTTCAGAATGGCTCTGGCATTAATACACTGCAGACCGTCAGCTGTGTAGATGGTCACTGGCCCACTGTCTTGTCCATTGCAATTTTGGCCAGGTGTAGAATTCTACTAGAAGATACTTACTCCCCATATTTAATTTGAAAGATTTGCAGCTGTGATGCAGCTAATGTAATGCTAACAATGGAACATTCACATGCTTGCAGCCTCTTCTACAAATTGGGCACAAGGGCAGAATAAACTATGTGAAGATTTGTATATCTGGCTTAATATTACTTTTTCTTGTTCAAATAGTAAATAAAATGTTTGAGATGACATCTGTGTGATAGAAAGTGGATTGCTGCTCTGTCAGTGAATGCACACATTCTGTTCATCTCTGACTTTTTATGAAATGTGCTCTCATCTTGACATACCCACAGCAGGTTGTTTAGTAATGACCCATCTGGTATAATGACCTGTTATGTGGCATAATCCTCCAGCCAATGGATCCGTTCTCTGAAAAACAAGTTATTTTCTGGGTTAGTTTTCAGCTAGTTCTTTGAGCCCACGTGGCTCCTTGAGCACAAGGGAGGTGGATGGACCTTTGTGGTAGATGCAAATTGTGAAACTGCTAGCTGGGTGAGAAGTGGAGGCAGGGGATAAGGAATGTAATTCACAAATCAAACAGTATGCAGAAACAAGGGTATGTAGGGCCCATCAGCAGGCAGGGTGAGCACAACTGGCTGGGATCTATCCACTTGCAATTAAGGGTAAGGTCAGGGTTTAAAGAATGGTTTTGACGGAGCAAGCCACTTTTTAAAACCTGGTAACTTTAACTAAGACAGTCTTCTGGCTTGAGAGGATTGAACTGTAAGGTGGTAAAAAGTAAAGGGGGAATTTCCCCAGTTTACCCCAAACTCCTATAAAACCAACAATGTAAGATGTACTGATTATTTACATAGCAAAACAGAATAGCTCTGGATTGCTCATATTTTATCTTATTCCAAGCTATAACAAGACAACCATACCTTGCACCTGTAGTCTTCTACTGTCCTCTTTCATGTATTCCTGGGAATAGTTTGAGCATGTGAATAAACCAAATGAATGCTGTTAGCAAAACTTCCACTGTGGGACATACGGAATAGTCATGGAATATATAATGAAGGAACACAGCTTGAGAAAGAAACACACCATGTTTGGACTATGTATTTGCAAAACAAGTATGTAAAATATACCTGCAAACCTACTGTAACATTACCAATATGCAGGATTGCCCCAGCACGGAACTAAAGCCAGAGTAAGAAGTACATGCTGTTTTATTTCTTATTAACTGTTTTAGGTTCCACAAATCTAAGCAAACCTAAACTGAAATTGGTTCTTTAAAGAACCATTATTTTGGAATTAATTTTATAATTAATTTATCTCTAATTTTAGAGGTAAGCAAGTATTTGGACTTAAGCTTTTTTTTTCCCCTCACTTTGCTATGGCATCTCTTCTGGAGATGTCATTACCTTCTTTTAGAAATGCTTTTAAGACATCTAAGTCCTGTTCTCAAGTAAAGAAGGACCTAATGTTTCTCCAAACCCTGTTTTTTGAGGAAAGAATTCTTTTTCAACATCTTAAGTCCCTTTTATAGCAAAGCAAGAATTCTACTGAAGCTTTCTAATTCATAGGGCTTTCTGGATAAATCTCTTGCTGTGTGGTGTCTGGATAGTTGCCTGAGCAGGCCTCGTGAGGCAATGAAGGTAGTCAAGTGTCTCTGGGAAGAGTTCTTCCCTATGTCAGTTAGCCTTTTCCTTTATTCATGGGAAACCTCTTTCTCATGTTCCCTTTCCTGTTTTGAAGGAATATGCCTCTTCCATTTTGGAGCCAGCTGTCTCCTGTACGATAAGGAGACTGTGGCATTTGAGTTTGTATCTGCTTGCTTGGGAGAAAGGCCTTCGTCTGTCTGGAGGTCACTTTCCTTGCAGATGCTGCTGCTTGCTTAAGAGTCCAGCCTCTCCTTGCAATGAAGAAGGAAAGCCATGCATGTTGCTAGTGCCATCTTGTTCATCTGTAGGGCAGGGGTTTGTCTTGCTGCTTGATCCTGGCAAGGCAAAGAGTCACAGCGGGTTTGAGCTGTGCCAAGGCACTGCAGCTCGAGCCGGCTGTGAGGGTGCAAGCAAGGATACAGACGCAGCAGCTTGAGCCAAAGGTTGAGGAGAGGCCCAAGGGCCAAAGTTGCTGCACAGTGCAGAGGTGGTGCCTTGTCAGTGCCCAGAGACTAGAGCTTGTGGCTGCTGGCAGTGAACAGGGCAGCTGAGCCAGGTGGTCCCTAGCAAGAAGTCGGTTGATGTACCTTGGACCACAGCCCAGCTAGGGTAGGCTTGCAGCTGTGCACATTATCATGAGGGGTAAGCACTGGGCTACAGCCGCCTCCAGGTTGCCCCTTCACCACCCTTGTCCTTTCATCGCCATCAGACAGTGCAGATGCTTGGGGCCTGTTGTGGACAGACTCCTTCCTCCCGAGCCTGCGGGCAGCCTCGCTGCCTTGTTGGGTTAATGCATCATGGAGAAGGGCTGTACTCAAAAGAGGGAGAGAAGCAATTAGCCCTGCTTGAGGGCATGTGCTGTGCCCTGAGGCAAAACCAGAGCTATATGCCCAGCAATCCCGTAATCCCAGGTCCTGCAATCAGGCCCATCCGGAAACAAATGCCTCCAAATTCTAGAGCTACCAGTTAATAGGTCAAATCCTACATGACATTCCTATTAAAAACCACACAAATAAGTCAGTGTTACTAAAGTATTTTTCTATGTGTCCCCCATCTGTTCTG